ATAATAATAATAATAATAATAATAATAATAATAATAATAATAATAATGTTCCCATTTATTTGTACTGATCCAGTTAACATCACGTTGAATTTGATTTGTGTACAGCAAATATTAAACTGAAGAGAACTGTTAGTATAAGAGGATATAATTGAGATATTTGTTCTTGATTCATATTTTTATGGTCTTATGCCTGATAAAAAGAACTATATTATTAAAGAACCAAAGCACTAAAGATATTTTGTGTATTTATAATGAATAGATGCAATTAAGAGAATAAAACATTCTATGGACTAAGCTAATAATTATAACACAACTTCCAGACACAATGATGAGCAAGATTTTAAAGTAGTTACCAAATCCAGTAGCAGCATTGTACTTGATTACTGGTGTTACAGCACTCCCTTCATCAGTGATGCAAGTCACCTGAAATAAATAAACTGAAAAGAAATGAAGAATTAAAAATATGAACATTATATGCACCTTTTATATTATCATTTCATTTGCATGTCTATATAGAAGCAATTTTTGTCTTGGGAAGCATAATATGCATTGATATTCTCCCTCCATAGTTTGAAAGTTTGCAAATAATAGTTCTATCCTTTAATAGGATGCAAAAGTTCAGATAGCTACAAGACAGTAGCAAAGATTTTTTCCTGTTTCTTGTAGGTCACTGAGTTTTTACCTGGCTTTTTGTAACCCAGAACTGGAAGTGATCATAAAACCTGTAGCCCTGTAGTATGCCACCAAATACCAATAAAATATATTTATTTTGTAGGTCATTTAAATGAATCCCCATATATAAAAAGGGAAGAAGCAACAACCAGCAACGACTATTGGTTCTTCTAATTGCTATTCTCATGCTAAAGTTTAGCAAAACCAGAGAACTACTGAAGCTCCTTGAGCTTTAACATTTTTTTTCTACTTTAATCACTAACTTAAAAATCAATATAAGCATGGGAGATGATAATCAGAATCTGTTCTGGACTATTCTTTTATTACAGTAGTATTTCATCAGATTGTTTTATTTTTTTTCCATCCAGTCTTCTTTCTTACAAAGTGCACAAGCTCAAAAGCTAGATGTAGGTATCCAAGAATATCAAAAATGATGGCTAGTACATGTTTAGCCAAAGGCTAAGTTCGGTGAGGTGGAGAGGAAAAAAAGTTCTGATTCTCCTTTCACACACCTATTCCGAAGCAGTGATAATTTGATTCTTGCATTGGCAACTTCAAGATGGAATTGTCAACTGATGTAAGTGGGACTGCTCTTATGATTGACCTGGAAGCTACAAATAGCATGAAATCAAATAGGTAGTGCAGCCTGGACTTTCTTTTGATTGAGTATATTGAGTAAATCACTTTGGTATTCACTGTCAGTGAACATGTAGATTTTCTTAAAGATGATCTGTCCCTAACCAGATCTACCCTGCATTTATTAGATTTATGAAAGCCACTAAATTAGATTCAGTATTTTAATGTTGGCAGACAAAACCCCAAAACAATTACCTAAACCAACATTTTCAATTAGAGCAACTTCATAGATATGAGCAACCATAGATATGACTCTGTGGTTTCTTCCCCAAACCCCAAAATTTTTAACCTTAGACTGTCTACTATTGACCTCACCCCTCTTCCTAAGAGGCCTGTAGGGGGCATGCATAAGTGCACCAATCGTGCCTACCGTCCCTGTCCTATTGTTTTTTTATTTTTCTTATAAGTATCTATCTCATGTATTCAAAACTATGTTTATTCTTATACCTGTATCTTTATTTGACAAATCAAATAAATACTAAATACTAAAATATATAAATGATCTTTAGAGATGGTCAGATTTTCCATGCTGTATTTTGCTGTTCCATGCTGATGCACAGATGACAACCATCAGTTGTCCTATGGAATAAGCTCTTCTTTATGGTATGTCAATTTTATGTATTTAAGGCATCTCTTGAATCTTTACAGTGGTGCTCTCTATCCATTAATTTCCTCTAACATTCCATTTCCATTCTGACTGATGAACTGATAGCCAATCTTGTTTGTTCATGAGCTCAAGGTAGTGAACATTGTGCTTCTTTATTTTACTTTCTCCTATTTTTCCTTACTATAAAACCCTGTGAGGTAGCTTGTGAAGTCACCCATAGTGTGCATCCATGGTTAAGGTTTTCCCACTCCTAGACCAATATCTATGTTGTTCTCTTAAGATTTGGTTGGCACTGCCCATTCTGTGATTGTGAAATTGAAATTAAAAAAACCCTCAATCAAAGGGCTAAGGAACTCAGTGTTAAGATATTGAGAAACATTTTTGGAAGTTGCTTTATTCAAAAATTGATTGCAAACTGCCTTACTGATAATCTGATCGAGTTATGTAAGAGTAAGTAATTTAAACAGAGTTGTGCACATAGGATACATTGCCCTAAAAAGCAAGATTAAAAGATGAATATTCAGGATTACTTTTGTCAGATGTCCTTGGCAAGTACAGTCTGGTATCAAAGCCACTGTAGATGCGTTGCCCTCCTTCCATTAGCACATATTCCTTCAGAAGCCCATTCAGTAGGAAGGTGTGACTCCAATCCAGAAAGATGGTGGATAAATTTCCGATTATGATAAATGGAGAATTGTATAGAGGGACTGGCAAGAAAAACAGAAGCATTAAGACAGTAAATACATTGATATCCAAATCATTAGCCATTGTTCTATGAATGTTTACATCTATTATTGTTCAGTTAGTAGTTTCAAGCAATGGATGATTATCAATTAAAATAAAAATGTTTCCAGTGAAATAAACAAAATTCATGAGTGTTCCCATTCTAGACTGCTGTGTGTTCTTTTTTGGGTGATGATGGTATAGAAAAACAAAAGGCTTAGCAATAGTATGAAAAAAAATATTACCGAGGCTAAGCAATGCTATTAAAAACAATTATCAAACTAAATGTCTCCCATTAAATTGATACAGCAACATAAAGCGTTTTAGTTGACTTCTTAATCCCAGGAATTCTATCTACTTTTATTTGTGTTGCTTTACCTTTGTCCCTATCTACTTCTACTTTGTTTACCACCCGATAGTTTATCCCAGTGTTTCTCAATTACAAAGTTATGTAGACTTCAATTCCCAGAATTTTGGGAATTCCCAAAGGAAGAGAAACTCTTCTATCCATTTTTATTCCATGGTTGCTGTTGTTTCTTTGTTTTTTGGAACTCTTCAACTCCTCCACCTGCCTTTTCCACTCATCGTCATTCTTATGGTCCTGGGAATGTATATTCTTCTACTTCTTGAAGTCTGCAGGTGCTGTTTGGTGTTGAGTTTCATTCACATTTGGTGGCTGTTCCTCAGAGGCATCATTCAATACTTCCTCCTGTATAATTATCCACCGTGCCTACCTCTGATGTCTTTATTGTGTTTCAGGGTTGCAGGACTCAGTTACAACGTCATGGACATTATTGTGGCTGTTGGCATGACTGCACTTTCTAACTGCTCTCACTGACCTGGCCCTTGATTGTCAGTTGTTCTCATCTGGAACTGCTGTTGCTTCAGCTCCAGTGCATTCAGTTCTTTTGGGTCTGCTGTCTTCCTACCTACTTTCCTACCTACATTCTTGTTCTGTCCTGTTTCTTCCTTTTTTCCACCATTGCTACACTTCTTCTTTTTTTAAAAAAAAATAGCCAGCACTCCAAATAAGGCATAGGCAAAGGAAGGAGAGCAGTGTTATATGTCCTTTCTCTCACATTACTCCTCAAGTTTCCCCCTTCCCCAAATCATTAAAATATCTAACAAACACTTTGATAAGAGTAAACTAATTGAATCTGAAAAGGATCTAACTTGACTACAGTTGCAATAACTGGGACTATTACATAAATGTGACAGGAAAGTAAAATAGTTAATTTTAATAGTAATAAATACATATTTTCATAATTAATATAAATATTTGTAAAACATCATAATATTGATGGTCTTTCTACTCTCATCAAGCTGTCTATACTTCTTAGGAAATACATTTTTCTACATTTTTACAATGCTTTCCTCTCAAAGCGTTTATTTCAAAAGTAAATGAGCTTAACAATATTACAAATATGATACGTTGTACCAATCACTTAATCAATTGTCTAATTCATCACTGCACAAGCAAAAAGCATGCAAAAGGAAAATAAGAATTTTCCCTTGAGTTTGTGCTAAACAAAAAAGAAAAAGGATCAAGATGTGACCTTGTTTTTTAAATATGTTCAGAATCCGCCAAAGAAAGCAAAAAATAAAAAAAAAATAAAAAAAATAGACCATCGGAGCATCTTGCAACAAAATTTTTAATTATTATTGGAAGAGACTTTTATTGGATGAAGTTTAACACTGAATAAAATTATAGGAGACTGGCTAAAAAGAAACTCAGTTGGGTAATTTAATCCTATTTCAGCTGCTTTTATTTAATTTCATTTCTAACATTGGGAAAATATGCTCCATCAACAGTAAAGTCTTCTGATTTTACAATCCCTTAACATACCACAAAAGCCGCACAGTCTTGAAACTACATAAACAGCTAAAGGTTTTGGCAAATTTGCTTAATGTTTCAATTTCACATTGTTACTCACTTTTAATTTTTGCAAGGAGCAAAAAAAATCTGTTTAACTATAAACTACAGAAATAGTAAGACTGAATTATGAAAACTTATAAATTGGGAATTTTCAGATATCTCTTCGTGTTTTAAAAACCCACCAAATAGGTAAAAAGTAATGATATTTTTGAAAACTCAGTTTTAAAACTCCTATTAAAAGAAAAACAGCTGAAGGTTTTTGCTTGCTACTGTATATAGGGTACCAGTTACATAACATCTTTTACCATCCTAAGAATAACAGGTTCAGCCCTTAATAGTTGTGATAGGAAACAAAGCACTCCTAAAAATGATGGAAATCATATGCAAATCCTTATTTTTGTCTGTAGAAACTCACCCTCTTTTTCAGTAGTAAAAGTAATCCATTCTGAAGTAGTGCTTCCAACTGAATTGTAGGATACCACTCTCAGTTTGTAGGTTGTATAAGGCTGAAGATCACTCACACTGGAATGCCGGTTATTTCCTTTATATCTCACCTCAATCGGTCCAGGCTTACAAACTCTTTCTATAGGAAGTAACCAAGGAAGACAGGATGTGTACATGTGGAGTTCATATCTATAAGAAAAGAAATAAATCAGCGTTAATAATAAGCACATCGCTTGGGTTTACATATTACTTTCAACTGTAATATGGCTTGTTTCTGGCTTAGTTGATGAGCAATCCATTCACATTATGATGTATATGAACCAAGGTAATTTAGCTTACTAAATTATCAAATGATTTATGGTTTGCATAGCAAATCATAGCTGAGCAAACCGTAAATTATCACAATATATGAAGTCAATCCTTTCTGGCAGATGTGAGTTTATCCTTCCCAATACCAAATGCTGGTTAAACTGAAAGGTTGATGTCCAACTTAATTGCTTTAAAGTTCTAGATATCCCATTCATTTTACTTATGTGCCTATGCATGATTTTTATAGGAAAATGATATGTCATTATTTCAGTGAAACAGTGGAGTAATATTTTCAATAATTAGAAATGAATAAAGATAATTCCCATTGCCTAGATTTCACAGTTGTATTTTCAGAATCTGTATCGAATTGTAATTCATACTATATTTCAAAAGTCTAGATATAAACACATGTTAGACATTTAGATATTTTCCCCAAATAATGCATGTAAAAATAAGATCTAATTTAACCTGTGTACTTTTAAGGCACTGGTTTTAATTCATGATTTGCCTTTGAAACTTTTACATTTATGAAGTGATTGAAGAAGGGAAGAATCTATTATGATGTGGGTTCACTGATAAATCTATATATAAATAGCAGCAAGTTACTGTTATTCTTCTATATATTTATTGGCAAAAATGATCTCAATTTAATAAACATGGCTATCTGCAAAGAACCTGATGAATGGCTGAAAACTGACTAGCTAGTTAGTGTTGGATTAAGGAACTTAATACAGTTAAACACAGGGGATCAGCATTTTGAACATATAGCCAGTTTGTCTAGTGGTCACTGCACCAAGCTAGAATCCAGGAAACTGATTTCTGTTCTCATCTTAGCCATGAAAGCCAGCTGGGTGACTTTGGGCCAGTCACTCTCTTTCAGCCCAACCGAATTTACAGGGTTGTTGTTGTGGGAAATTAGGAGGAAGAGGAGTATAAGGTATGTTCACCACCTTGAGTTATTTATAAAATAATGAAGGTGGAGTAAAACATATCTAAACAAATTGATGTACCCATTTTTGTAGTACTAAAAAGACTATTACATATATTATCAGATTAATTTTATACATCAAAACTATTTCATGATTAAGTAAAATGCAGTGAAGGAAAGGGGTTACACACAAATACACAACTCTCTTGGTGAAGGAAGAGAAAAAAAGGCACAGAAAAAAAATTAGAGAAATGAGAGAAAGGATGGTGAGCATTACTAAAGCCATAGGTAGGTGTGAGTTCCCAACCATAGATTTTATCCGATTATATCTGAGCAGTTACCTTGTCACAATGCCATTGGGTTCCTGAGGAGCATCCCACAGAAAAGAAGCATTTCTTGAAGTCAGGCTCTGTATATCGGGAGAAGGCTGCTGGCTGGGTGGAGCTGGCTGAGTGGTGATTTGAGCCATTGGTCCCTGACTGCAACAGTTGAAGCATGTGCAAGCTTCAACCCCAATAGAATAAGTGGTAAAAGGTTTAAGTCCATGGATTGTCTGCTGGGCAGTAGTTCCTTCTGAGAGCTGAAAATGATAGAACAAAAGCAGAAGTAGGCACTGACATGCAAGTAGTCTATCTACTGCACAATGCTCAGCTGGACAAACTATATATTTGTTCATTTGGCTTTTATCCTGCCTTTGCTTTTTTACAACTCAAAAAAGGTATATTTGATGTTTTCTCTTCCTATTTTTTCAACAACAATAATAACAATTTTACAAAGTAGGTTGGGCTACGAGACTGGCTCAAAGTCATTAGGCCAGCTTTCATGCCAAGCAGAAGGCTAAAACTCATAGCCTCCTGAGTTCTAGTCCAACACTCTAACCACAAAACGCTGCTGGTTGGCTGATCTAATCTAGATAGTTTTAGACCAGGCATGTAGCTTCCTAAGAAGCAATGACTAAGCTAGTCCCTGAACAGTAATACCCAAACTGATAGACATGGTAATCAATAGTACTTCCACTCTTTTTCATCCCCAAAACTGCATATATTTTGACAAATCCTATAATCCTTTCCTCACCAGTGCCCTTTTTGAGTGAAAAGTTGATTTATTTTTTAATTTCACATCAGTAATAGTTAAAATCTAGACTGAGATATGCCATACCTTTATTCTATGCAATCAAGAGGAATATTGAGGACAATCCTATAATAATAGTAACTGGCATCACCACAAATTTCATCAACTCAAAAGATTTTGATTAATACTTACCACGTTCTCCTTTCCTTTGGTGCTATTGGAGAAGAACCTGTAGAGGGTGATTATTCCATTTGGCTTTAGAGGAGGACGGATGTTGACTACAGCAGAAGTAGAAGCTACTGTTTCAAACAAAGGAGCAGGTAGTCCTTGAGGAGGGGCTGGGCCAGTCTTACATTTTGTCCAATTGCTAGCAGTTTGGCCAGCAGAATTAACTGACCAAACCTGAAAAACAAGAATTTATAATAATCCTAATACATCATTCCAGGGAAAAATCCATATTATCATTTCTGCTTTTATTTATTTAACTATACCGCCCAGACTCCATCTATGCTGCCCAGAGCCCCTCTATGAGAAGGATGGGTGATTAAGAATAACAATAGCAATAGCACTTAGACTTAGATACCACTTCACAGTGCTTGTTCAGGCTTCATCAAACGTAATTAAACACAAACTTGTTTTAAAAGCAAAACCTATTTTAGTGCAACACTGGGAATTACTTCCATTCACAGCCAGAACTAAACTTAAACAGTTCCCCAAGATAAGCACACACCTGCCAGTGCTGTGGAATGCTGCCAAAAACAGAAGTATCCAAATTAATTATAACAGAAACCAACAGAAGTACCAGAAAAAAACCGATCAGAATACACAGAGCTTCAAAGAGGACTCAGAATTTATTGAACTACTTTGCTTTCTGCAAAGCTTTTGTCATTAAGGCCTGACTTTTACCCCTTATGGGAGGGACAATCACCTCTCAGTCTTACTCCCGAGTCGCCCCTTCTGCTTCAGCTGCTCTCACCTTCTAGAACCTCTGTGCACATGCACACTGGGAACAGGCTCCCCTGGATCCTCTGCTTCGCTGCTGTCAGTTTCTGAAGGCTCTCAAGGCAGCACCCCACTCCCAGATGGTCCTGGCCCCATCCCTGCATCAGACGCAGGACCCTCATCCAAGTCCTCTCCAGACTCCCTGACTGGTTCCCTTTCTTCCTCACTGTCCGATACCACTGCCGTCTGCACCGGCTGCCGGCGAACCACAACAGACCTCTCTAAGTGATTTACAGAGTCAGCATATTGCCCCCAACAATCTGGGTCCTTGTTTTATCGACCTTGGAAGGATGGAAGGCTGAGTCAACTGTGAGGCAGTGAAACCTGAACTGCCAAACTGCTGGCAGCCATTGATCAGCAGAAGTAATCTGCAGTACTGCATTCTAAACATTGTGCCACCATGGCTCTTTTGATATATAAACAATAAATAACAGAAAATGCTTCAGAACAAACTGAATTTGGGAAATGTTTTTGTAGGCTGCATCCATATTTATTTGACGATCATGTTTTCCTGAAAATAAGACCCAACCAGAAAATAAGACCCAACTAGCATGATTTTTCAGGATGCTCATAATATTCCAAAAATAAGCCTCAGTTAAGATCATCAGCCAGAGGGATAGATTTAGTACCACATTTCCCCCAAAATAAGACCTAACTGGGAAATAAGCCCTAATGCATCTTTTAAAGCAAAAAATAATATAAGACCCAGTCTTATTTTTGGGGAAACATGGTAATTGATATATTATCTTTTCATCTCTAGTGAACTCTCAAGGTGGCTAGAATGAGACAATTATCTTGCCTTGAAATGTAATTTCAGGTGGCATATCTGTGATTTTATATTTTCACTGGTTTGGTAGCCAATGGACTAGGAAATTAAATAAAACAAAAACAAAAGTAAGTTTATTTAAGGACTGTACAATTTTAAAGGATCATCATACATGTCAGCATTTCATTAAGATCTCACATGAACAACTTTCAGGACTGACATTCATCTGAGTAAATGCTACCACAGTATGCTTGATATTATCATAGAATCATAGAGTTAGAGCAGGGGTTACAGCCGTGGACTGGATGCATCATGCACTGGCCTTGCTGACTCCTGGTTTAGCAAAGGGGGGGGGGAGTTATGTTATGTCACGTGACAACACCGTGATGATGTGAGTTTGACATCCCTGAGTTAGAGGATTGAAAGAACCTTGAAGGTTTTCTATTCCAGCTTCTCTCCAGTGCAGGAATTCTCATACTATTCTTAACAAATGGCTTTTCAGTCTTTTCCTGATATCCTCAAATTTTGGAGCATTCACAAAAGCCTAAGAAGGCAGGCTGTGAGAGACTTAACAGCTCTTACAATCATCTAGTCCAACAATCTCTCATGTTCATTCAATGTTCATTTAACTTACTGCTGAATTATTTAATGTTACACTGAGTAGCATGGAAAGGTTATCACATAGAAGTGCAGTAAACCTAGCATTCTTGATCATTTGCATGAGGTCAGTCAGCTCAAGTCAAAACCCTCCTTTAGTAGCATAACATATTCAGTCCAGGTGCCTGCAGTAGTAAAAAATCAATGGAGATCCCTTCTTGAAGGACATGACCTATAAAAGGAGTGCATGCTTTCCTGTGGGATAGGGAAAAAATCGCATCTATATTTTTATAGACACAAAATAAGGGATGCTTTGATACAAACTTGGGGAGAGATAAAGAAAAAACTATTTGAAAATCCCAAGTTGGCTATCCACCATAGAAGCATTGATCCACCCCAATACAATGGATGTTAATAAAATGGCCAGGTACAAGGAAATCCTAGACAATCAAGGGAAATTTAAAAGTAGACAGGAATTGAAGGAGCAGGGAATATCTATAGATTGGCGGCCTTACCTGCAACTACAATCCAGATATAAAAAAGACAGCGAGGAATTAGGAATAGCCACAAAAACTAGATAAACTTTTGACTGGTCTAGATGAAAAACTGTTATCAAAGATATATAAATATTTATTAGAATATTTATTAGAGCAGAAGAGATTGTGAAGGGATCGATAATAGTGTGGGCCAAAAATTTCGGATATAGTATTGACTAGAGGAGTAGGAAAAAATTTGGAATATGAACTACAAGATAACAAAATCGATGGCTTATAAAGAAAACCAACATAAAATGTTTTATCGCTGACATTTGATGGTCACAAGATTGGCCAAGATCTATCCAAATGCAAACCCAAACTGCTTGAAATGCAGACAAAAAATGGTACCTTCTATCATACATGGTGGTTATGCTCTGAAGTGAAAAAATATTGGAAGAAAATACAAACGTGGTTACAGGAATTAATTGGAAGCCAAATAGATTTTGTCCTGGAATTATTTCTTTTAGGGATAATGAAGAGGAAATACAACAGAAAGATAAAGTATTTGGTGTTACCAGAGGTGGTATTCAGCAGGTTCTGACCAGTTCTGGAGAACCGGTAGCAGAAATTTTGAGTAGTTCGGAGAACTGGCAAATACCACCTCTGACTGGAGATTTTACAGTATCCTTCCCCTGCCATGCTCACCAAGCCACACCCACAGAACTGATAGTAAAAAAACTTGAATCCCACCACTGGGTGTTACGGGTATTAACAGCAGCAAAGTTAGCCTATGCTCAATGTTAGAAGAGATATTGCAACCATCCAAAGGCTTAGTAATTAAAAAAATGTATGTGTGCGGAAATGGATAAATTGATCACTGAATTAAAAGGAAAAGTAGACTCTGAATACTGTGCAATACGGGAAAAATGGTACCATTGGATAAACAATAGAAATAAGAAAATAAAGTGTATACAATAAATGTAGTAAGTATAGAAATAGAATATATAGATTGTATTGGACATGGTATGTAAATGTATAAAAATGTCATAGTTCTGTTTATTAAGTGATTGAGATGTGTAAACGGAAAAAATCAAATAAGGCATTTCTAAAAAAAATATCAATGGAGATCATAAGAGAGCTAGAACTAAGTTGTATGTGAAATGTTAAGGACACTGCACCCATTAATCAAACTTATCTATGTTATTAACATGTAAATATAATAAACAAATAAATAATATGTATTAAAAGCATAAATATTTTTCTGAACTTAGCAAATCAATATATCCAGCCTACTCTTAGTACTTTGCTTATTCATCTTCAGCTGATTATACTGAATATGTAATAAGTTGATAATATTGCTAAGCTGATAATAAAGCAACAATTATATTGCAAAAGATACAATCTTTACTAAGGTTTTGCAAATATTTTATGATATTATCTTAATCAATGCACATAGGAAGGATTCCAAGATGTAATAGCTAAGAAAGTGTCTAGTTCAAAGCTCTTCTTTGGAGATGGCTTTTTTTTTGTCAGCTTCACAAAACCAGGGTGATCTGCACACTATATGAAACTCAGCAGTTATTAAACAAGACCTGCAACAAATCTGCATGAAAATTAAATTTTACTTTCATCAAGGAGAGAATAAACATATGGGAGGATGTTTAATCTTATTTATCAAAGACCATTTGTATAATTAAACACGAATACCATAAAAGGTTGACTGAGGTCATGATTTGCATGAGTAACTAATTTGTAGAATGTCAGGTGCAATAGATGGAATAGATGGATGTGTGAATATATAGGGTTAAATTAGACTCAATAATAGTGAAACACACACAGATCAATCAGAATGATAGATCTAAATGGCAATACAAGGGGACTGTCTGTGTGATTTTTAGTATTAAGTATTCCTTAGTAAGCTTTCATGTCGAGCAGTTCTAACTCTACTAAAACTAGCTCTTATGCTATCTTCTAATATTCTGCTATAACATTTGAATTTATTCCAAGTTGCAAAGAAAGCCAAAGGTCCTAAATACTTTCATAAATGAAGAGTTTTAACTATATAATGGACCTTGTCACTATGGACCTAGCTTCAACTGCAACCGAGAAGCCACTAGTAGATTGTTGGTACTAGAAGATTCAAGAAAAGAAACCAATTTCAAAGGCCTCAGCTATGCAACTGATGACTGAAGACATATTTAAAGTATTCGGCTGAAGTCATAAGACTAATCATTGCAAGAAGATGGCCATCTAATGAATTGTTTTAAATTTCAGGGATCATACTGTTTCTTTGGAATTGTTGACTCTTAAGTAAATTGTATGACTCATACAGTATGTTTGTACACTGCAACTGAAAGTAAAGAGTACAAGAAAATTAATTATAAGTTGGAAGGAGGAGGAGGAGGAATAATAATGGCAAAAGACAGCTTTCCTTTGAACAGTTTACATTCTAAGATGATATATTTAATTCCATAAATCAAACATCTGTCTATCCCAGGTCCTTGGGAAGAACTTGGTAGGTGGATTAAAAATGTCAAATCCAGTCTAAACATCTGGCTGGC